ATGATGGATCTTCTGGAGGACATTTGGGAATTAGGAGGACTTTGGTGAAGATCAAGGAGAGGTTTTATTGGTTGTATTGCAAATATGACGTCGAAGATTGGTGCCGGAAATGCACTAGTTGTGCAGCTGTCAAGGGTCCACAAACAAGAAGCAGAGGGGCGATGAAAATCTACAATGTTGGTATGCCTTGGGAGAGAATAGCCTTAGACATCGCTGGACCATTTCCAATCACTGATTCGGGCAATCGCTACGTTTTAGTGGTTATGGATTATTTTACAAAATGGCCGGAGGTCTTTGCCATACCGAATCAAGAGGCAGTAACTGTAGCCACGAAGTTGGTAAACGAGGTATTCACCCGATTCGGAGTGCCCTTGGAGATGCACAGTGATCAAGGACGGAACTTTGAATCCCAAGTTTTCCAGGAAACTTGTAAACTTTTGGGAATCCATAAGACTCGAACGACCCCTTATCATCCACAGTCAGATGGAATGGTCGAACGCTTCAACCAAACATTGGAGCGACACTTAGCAAAGGTGGTTGACAGCCATCAGAGAGATTGGGACACTTACATACCTCTCTTCTTGCTTGCCTATCGGACTGCTGTACATGAAAGTACCGCAAAGACGCCTGCATTTGCAAATTTTGGAAGGGAATTGAGATTACCGGCAGATCTTGTATCGGGCTGTCCACCTGGTGACTCTCGCACCGAGTTTAGCGATTACATAAGCGAGTTAAGGGCAAAAATGTTGGACATTTATGAGCAGATCAGGGAGGCCGGTCTTCAAGCTAGTGATCGCGCAAAGACGCGCTATGATCGACGAGCCAATTCTGTTGGGTTTGAAGAGGGGTCATTGGTCTGGCTTCATAATCCAGTCAGAAGGAAGGGAAAATCTCCAAAGCTGCAACCGAGTTGGGAAGGTCCTTACGAGATAGTCACGAAGATCAATGACATTACTTACAGAATTCGGAAGTCTTCAAGGAGCCCTTTGAAAGTTGTCCATATAGACAGGTTGGCGAGGTATTACGGCAGCAACGATGCTCGGGACGAGCGAATCTAAGAGGGGGGCAGTGTGACAGAAAACTCTTTGACATCATGACGTCAATGGATGGTTGTCAAACGTTGCCTAGAGATTGTAAATTTCGTCGTGAATTGTCAACACGAGTTGGTGTAATCGGTAAGGCGTGTGGATTACACCACAGAGACCCCGAGTTCGAGTCCCGCCGTAAACATGAAGTTTTTTAGTTGATGGAAGTTTTGTCGAACTTTCTGGAATATTTGAGTGAAAGTAATGAAAAATTAAGGAGCGAGAAGGAGAATAAATAAAAATGAATAACGAAATTATTGGAAGGTTCTGGAGGCATGACGATCAAAAAAGAATAACGAAATTGAATGTTCTAGAACCTGACCGGGGGTATATAAGCGGAACTGCGGCTCACCGCTGGCAGTTGAGTTCTAAGTCTAAAGCGATTCGGAAGAAAAGGAAGAAGTGAAAAAGAAGAAAAGTGAGTGAAATAGTGAAGTGCAGTCAGTTAAGTGAAGTTAGCGTGAACGGCAAAGTTGTGTCAGTCGGCCGGACTCTGCTGGAGAGGAACGCCGATAACTTAACTCCGTGGACGCTGTAACTTAAGCGCAATAGAAAGTCTGAAAACCGGTATTAGTGTTTCATTTCATCCAATCCCGTAACCCAAGCCCGCATAGTCAGGAACGTGACGTCAGGCACGTAACAATAATTAGCTAAAAAAAACTTAGTGTATCGATCGATCGACGAATAAAAGTATAGTTATTTTTCAATATTTTATAGTATTGAAACATCGAATTAATTTATTTTTGACCTAGGAAACTACCCAATTGTAAAGACCACTTGCTTCCCGAGCGCAAATACTGTAGCACCGGACTTGACGGAAACGTTACGGTAATTTTGGATTGCGTAATCTGATTTTAATAATTCTTCATTATTTAATGAATAGATTTTTTTTATTTAATAGAAAATAAATACGAACTGTATTCTACTTTTGAGATTTTTTCCTAATTTTCTTTCCTTATGGTTCAAAAGTTAGAGGGTAATATTTAGAGTATTTCAAGAGATTATATTTATATATATATATATATATGTATATATTTACCCAAATTCATTATTAGGTAGCTATCCAGAAATAAATCACACAAAAGGATTGAAATGAATAAAATCTACTTTATGCGCACAGTACGCATAAAGTAGGGAATTATTTTCGAAATATTTTTTACCACTTCATTGGTTTGATTGCTGCCCAATTTCAGCTTTCTAGTGCTTACGGTCACTGAGATTATCCGCGGACAGACAGACAAACAGACATAGTGAAACTCGAGGGTACCTAGTTGACTATGGAACTCTAAAAACGAGTTACAGTAAAAAGATTAGTGGCAGTGATGTTCCTTTCGTCATTATTTAATTCACGATTTCAAAGTAAATTTTATAAACAAATTCAAAACACAACTTCAACACAGCAAATCTGTTGCATCCTGCAGTTGCATCATCTAGGTAAGACAGTTATGTAACTACAACATGAAATCTTCAATTTTTACAAAACTATTTTTACTTTAAATTTTGTGTACCATTACAACTAAGAAGGTACATTTTGTACTGAGTGCTGACATAGCACCTTTCTTTACCTAAATTTAGTTTTATCTAAGTACTAGCAACCAGTCCTGGCCATTATGATATAATTCTAATTGATAAAATTTATTACCTTCTTGTAATGTCATATACCATTAATGCTCCAGCAGCACCTCTATAATACGACCGAGTGACAGCTCTAAATCTTTCTTGCCCAGCTGTGTCCCATATTTGCAGTTTAATTTTCTGGCCAGCTACTTCTATAATCCGGGTCCCAAACTCAACACCAATTGTGTGTGGGCAGTCAGCCATGACTAAAATTAATAATTTAGTATTAAATTTGTATCATGTCAAGGCATTATTTTCTTTCACATTAGGCTTTTAGCTTTAAGCTGAACTATAATTAAGAGAAAATAACGTAGAAAGTTTAGGAATCTAATTAGAAAATAGATCAATGTACTAACATTTCTTATCTGTAAACTGATGCAATAGACATGATTTGCCAACTCCCATATCACCAATGATGATGTACTTAAATATGTAGGAATAGTTGTATGGTCCTGAAGTCATTTTGAATCTGAAAATAATAATAAAGAAATTGTAATATTTAATTCTCAATGTTATAGGCTTTTATTTTAATAATTAAATAAATCAATTTTAAGCCAAGGTAAATCAGGTTTTACTAGCTGTAGCTTGGATTGCGAATACCTAATAATGGCCATTGGCAGACCTGCAAGTTGAACCTAATGTTTGGGTAAAAAGTTGTACTTGGAATGAGAATTTTTTGTAAGGGGAACTTGGAATGTGTATGAATGTAAAATTATGTAAATGCAATATTGTGAAATTAAAAACTGGCTTTGTCAGTCCTATATGGACACCTGGCAATCTTATTTCAGCTACATCTGTAGCTGAAATAATAATGAAGGTCATATTACAAATAATTAATTAAAATATGTACATCATTTGAGTAGTTCAACTCATGTAGTTTACAGTAGAAATAGAACTAATTTGACATTTCAACATTTCCTATTTATGCTTGCTGATAGACTTTTTGACATCTACTTATTGCCCTAACCCTAGTAAGTTGATTAATTATACTAATAATTTGGCAAAAAACAACATTGATATTACAAAGGTACTAATATTCAATTAATCATGTTGCACATTTTTTAAGACTAGTAATAGTTTAATAATAAGGCTTTTATAAGGTATATGAAAAACTGAAATAAACACAATTTATTCCCTGACTATCTCTCATCCAATAAATTTCAAAATTCTCTAGGATGAATAAATATAATTACATTACACCTATATACAATTATAACTAGAATTATTGCAATTTGATACATCAGAAATTAATATTAATTACTGATATACCTAGTAAACAAATATTAAAAATGTAGGACAGCAATGATAAGATTTGTTATTTTTTTAAGTGTGACTACAAAATAAGCACTTGAATAAAAATCACAATCATGTTATTCCTCCATTTATTCGAAAGACTTAAACGTTTGTTGGCCAACAACAATACAATACCATGTAAATAATAGTGCTAAGCCCTATACAACCTTGACGGGGTTTGTTGAATATTCTGACTTTCTGTACCTGTGCCTAATTGATGTATGAGTCATCGTATAATGATAATACCGACATTTAACTAATAGAAAAGCACTTAATAAACCTATTCTATTATTGATCTTATCAATAAAAAGTATTAATTGTTACGTGCGAAACAATTTTTGTGAGAAATACTGGGGGAGTTTATTAGTAACTATGCTGACATTTATTCGTATTCAATTATTATTATGTCCATGATTTCAATTTTTGGGAATAGGTACTTACATATCAGTACTAGTCCGTCTTGATTAAAAAAATAATACACGATCAATTATAAATTTAACAAATACCACACAGCAACGTTTACAATTTTCAGAAATAATTATATTTCTGCAATGCAAAACAAAGGCTTCCTCCTTCATTAAATATGACGTATTTGGATATTTTGTTGCCATAGGTAAATAGCCAACCAAGATTACGAGTAATGTAGGTACATTACGATGGATTAAATAATAACAATAAATAAAAAACGCGAAATGTTTGTAAGAGATTGATTGGAGATGCACGATTGTGCATCTCTAGTGCAATAATTCATTGTGTTCATACTACAGATATGGTGATATGAGAACTTTTCCCTACCATGGAGCATATAAACTTTTAAATAGTCCTAAGTAAAGATGTATAAAAATACTATAATGTAATATAATTAAGAGAAATGTGAAATATTCCCTCATCCCATACACGTCTGTGTACGTACAACGTACAAGTATCTTATTTTCTTGGTAGTCGCAGCACAAAATGAGCACAAATCATGTGACTACAAGACATTGTTGACAGTTTATTAATGTCAGTGTCAATTATTTCTCTCATTGTTGTTTGTTACTCAAATCGAGATCTTCTTTGATTGAACTGTCTAGTAATTAGGTAGATTGGGAAGTTACAAATAGGAGAAAACATAGGTAGTTTATTTGCATAATATGGCGGGTCATGATCAAAACAACTGTAACCAAAATGGCATTGCAGAAAACAATGACATTGAACCATCCGAACCAAGCGACGAAAGTGTCGTCGAAGGTAAGTCATGTATAATTTCATGACTTCAAACTAGAAATTAAATAATTGCTTATTTCATTTATGATTGCTACAAAAAATAATTTTCTATATATTTTAGTTAATGTATTTGAATTCATCCCAGCAACTCATCGTTTTATATTATTACAGAATACATCATGTTGGATTCAAAATTGGATGAACTTAATTCAGCACTGGACTATTTGGAACAAAAAAATGATGATATCCACGAAAGGCTAAAAGAGCTATTACAGTCAAATATTGAAATTAGACAAGAATTGCGCAATGAAAAAGCAGAAGTGTCTGGGAATAATTAATTCACATCACATATTTCCAACCAGTATTCAATTATTAAAATTGTTATTAGTTTCCAATAATGTAATACTAACATTGAAATTACTTATTTATTGATGTTTCTTTTGTTTCAAATTAAATATATAATAAATTGTTTCATCAAAATTATGTAGTTACTTTTATTTAAACTTAAATCACTACAAAAGTGGGCACGATTTTAATTGCAGTTTAATTCATCGGACCCCAAGTGAACACCGGTTTTGCGACCCTATAGTGTCTTGAATAGACCTAAACAATGGAACTACACCTACAATCAAATTTCAAGAATTTTAAAAAACATGTTACATATGTACTTTAATTAGTAGTTCATCATATTATAAATCTATTCCAGAAGTATTAACCTCTTGTCGGCTGGTATATGAGACACAACACAATAGAAAACACATTGTGTCTTGCATATATCGGCATCTTGGGTTTGGTCTCTTTATCATTGGTCTGAAATTGTGGGTATTTTTTATAGAAATTTCTTAGTCTATTGTTTGGAAAAATCAGTCAGGTCATCAGATATGCAAATAGCGTTGTTCGTGTCGCTTGAGGTTTGATGAATTTTAGTCCAATTAGAGAGCAAATTTGTATTTTATGTATTTCTTTAACTTTTTAGTTTAAAATTAATTATTTAATTAAAATTATAGAATTAATTACATTTTAATTTAGATTTGATACACAAATACTTTCTCTAAAGATTTATAGTCCTATTATAATTAATAGCATTATTACAGTTTAGTTGCAACTTTTAAGAAATAGATTTTCACTAAAATATATGTATACAAAATAATAGGCTAATTTAAAAAGGTTTTATTCTTTTATTTTCAACAACTACTATAACACAGTAATTCTTAAGCAAGAAAAAATATTAAACATCTAGAATTATTCCACTCATGTTTGTTTTCTTCTATTAGTGACCATCTTTTTTGACAAATCGTAAACCACAGTATCCACATGAATGGTCCCCAGGTTTGTCCTTAAAAAAAGTACTTGATTATTTCCGACTCCTCAATACACATTTAAGGTTTATGGTACATTTGAAAAAAAAATGTGATAACACATTTTATAGAATTTAAGATATTATTAACAGATTTCATTTGGAAAAAAAAAAGATATAATATTAGGATTGTTTACCAAATTAATGAAAACGCGTGGATGTCCTTCAGGGCCACTTCCTCCATCACACCATACCACTCTTTCAGTAACTTGTTTTGGGGGTACTTCTGCTATCAAATTAACTGCCCAATTAGGATTAACTTGCTTGGGAGCATTCATGAATCGAGCCAATCTGTAGTCATCAGATTCCCACTTCTGCAATATTATTGTTCATTATTATAGTTATTTTTAAAATGAATTATATTATATTCATATAAAAATACAGTAAAATACAGGCCTATGTCCACCAGTGGACGACAACAGGCTGATGATGATGATGATGATGATGATGATAAAATCCAGTGTCAAATAATCAAAACAGTGTATAATATAAAAAATATTTACTGTTATGTAAGACAGTTTCATTAACAGAAAACAAAACTGGTAAGCAGTTTAGATAAACCTTTTATGAGCGTATTTTTACAGAAATGTAAGAAGTACATTTTCGGAACATTACCTGGCCCGTATGAGTGCTAGCATCTTCGATTTTAGAAACAAAGCTACGGCTTGAAACTCTTGCGACTGCTCTTAATGATAGGCATTGTTTGGCAGCGACACGTGAAACCAAATTATTCATAGTAAAGCAAGTTGAGAACTGACAACAAGATTTATGGCAATCAAGAACTTCACAGTAGGAGAGTTATGAAAAATTAATGAAATACGAAAATAGCAAAGTGGTTAATCGTAATAAATGGTCATATTGACAATGAGTGGAATGTCAAATCGACGTATAAATGTCAAAATTCGACAGATTTCGGCACTGAGCCTGAGCCATAGATTTAGTATGTAGTTGTAGGTCTGTGGCCTGAGCCCATAGAGAATTGCATAGATAGTACATGTATTGTACATATAATATGGGTAGACAATATAGTAAATATGTACTTAAGTACGTATGTATCGCGCAAGAGGATCTCTGACTAGTTTATAGTAATCTGTGCAAAAACTTTTCTATAAATGTATGGTGCAGTAGCAAAAGGAACTATGTCAACTATACGGCCACGCGCAGCGCAACTGCTTCGGCAAACCCCGCTGCGTCAAGTGCCTAGGCGACCACGGCACGTCCGAGTGCCCCCGTCCCAAAGACCGCACCCAATGCACGGAGCCCCCCAGCTGCGTGCTATGCGGCAACGCCGGCCACCCGGCCAACTACAGGGGTTGCCCTAAGGCCCCCAAAACTTCGGCACCAAAGCTGATAAAGCGAGCCATAGCCCGCCAGACCAGGGAACGCCCCACGGTCACACTGGCCCCTCAGCGCCCCAGCCCATGGAACGCGCTCAACACTCAGCGGATTTTCCCGGCACTGAAGCCGACCCAGCAGCCATCTATCCCGGGGCTGATGGACCGCCCCATTCCTCCACCTCCAGGCTTCTCGGCACCAACGGTGGCACCGCCGCCCCCAGCGCGGCCTCCAACTTCGGCCCCCGCTCAGGGAGCAGATCTCGACCCATTCGAGATCATTTCGAGCACCTTCTGTGCTTTCGTCACACCGCGTGCCAAACAACTGGCAGCGGCAATCGTAGCCTGCAATGGCGACCACGCCAAAATTCGACAGGTGTACCACCAGTATCCTGATTTCCACGAGGCAATAAAATCTCTAGGAACCCGTAATGGATAGTTTCTCAGCTAGACGTAAAAAGCCGATGGCTCTTAGGTTAGGGTTCTTTAATGCCAACGGCCTAAAAAGCCAACGCGATGAAGTCGCGACTTTCCTTCGCGACCACCGCGTTGACATTCTCCTAATTCAAGAGACCTTTCTCAAACCCCATATTCGAGACCCGAAAATTGCGAACTACAGGTTAGTCCGCAACGACAGGTCTCACCGTCACAAAGGAGGTACTCTGATCTATTATAAAAACGCACTAAGAGACGATTTATCCGCTCTCTTCGGCTTGAGCGACTCCGTCATCCTGGCGGGAGACCTCAACGCCAAGCATCCCGCATGGAACAGTCACACTGCAAGCCCCCGCGGCAAAGTAGTGTTTGACCTTTGCTCGACACTATCTTTCGATGTCATCGCTCCGATGCATCCCACTCACTACCCGCTAAACCCCGATCACCGGCCGGACGTGCTAGATGTCGCCCTTCTCAGAAATGTAAACCTGCGTTTACACTCTGTGGAGGCGATCGACGAGCTCGACTCCGACCACAGACCGGTCATCCTGGGTTTAACGCCTAGAACGGGTCCTTCAGACCCCGAACACACACCTCCCACCCGAGTGATCACCGACTGGGGGAAAGTACGCGTTTCGCTGAAATCCTCCAACTCGGCTCACCTGGACGGGATACCGGACAACATCGTGTTTGCCGCAGACACGGCGCTCGCGGTCGACTCCCTCACGAGGCACGTACAGTCCGTCCTGAACGAGTGTTCGAGGGAAGTGCCAGCGGTGAGCGATCATCACTGGAAACTCCCTGACGATGTGCGTGCCCTGGTGGCGGAGAAGAACGCGGCCGTTCGTGCCTACAGGGCTTTTCCTTGCGTTAGCAACAAGACTCATATGCGTTACTTACAGCGCAAAGTAAGTAACAGCATAGCCGAGTTACGCGAAAAACGCTGGGACAAGACCCTAAGCGAGCTAGAACCCAACCACCTGGCGTTCTGGAGCCTTCAGAGGAAGTTGCGCTCCCCAGAAGTCTCCACGATACCGCCCCTCACACGACCGGACAAAAGCATCGCCTTCGACGATGAGGACAAAGCCGAATGCCTAGCCGACAGCCTGGAGCTTCAATGCTCTCGTAGCACCCAGCCAACCGATCCGGCCCATCTCGCTAGAGTGGACGCCGAAGTAGAACGCAGGTCTGCTCTGCCTCCGATAGAGGACCCTGACACCCCCCTACCTCCCGTCACCCCAGACGAAGTAGAGGAAGTGATCAGAGGACTCCACCACAGAAAAGCTCCAGGGCGGGATGGAATGACAAACAGGGTCTTTAAGCTCCTCCCTGCCCAGATCATTGTACTTCTGGCTGCCATGTTCAATGGCGCCATGACCCATAACATGTTCCCACAATCGTGGAAAGAGGCTATCGTGATTGGTATCCCCAAGCCCGGTAAGCCCAGGTCTTCCCCGAGCAGTTACCGCCCCATCAGTCTGCTCAGCGCCTTCGGCAAGATCTACGAGCGACTTATTTATAAGCGACTCAAAGATTACGCCGAGTTTGTCAGCTCTCGCTTCCAACACGGCATGATGACGGGGGCTCTGTTTTTCGATAGGTATAGCGAAAGCATTCGACAAAGTCTGGCACAATGGCTTGATTTTCAAGCTATACCAACTCGGAGTACCAGACCGCCTCGTACTCATCATTCGAGACTTTCTGTCGAACCGCACCTTCCGCTACCGCATTGAAGGCGCACTGTCAACCTCGCGCCCAGTCAGGGCAGGCGTCCCGCAAGGGGCCGTACTATCGCCCCTCCTTTTCACGCTGTACACCAGCGACATACCAACTCGACCACGCGTAGAGCTCTCCCTGTTCGCAGACGACACGGCGATCTACTGCGCGGGCCGCAGTCCAAACTCCATAGCCCGAACCCTCCAAAACTCCGCAGCCGCACTAGGCGACTGGTTCCGGAGATAGAGGATAGAAGTCAATCCGGACAAAAGCCAGGCGGTACTGTTCGTGAAGCCGCGTATCCACCAACCTGATACGCCTACACCCATAACCATGTTCGGCAAGCCTATCCCCTGGGAAAAGCAAGCCAAGTACCTCGGAGTCATTCTCGACCATCACCTGAATTTCAGAGAGCACATCAAGACGGTCCGTTCGCGAGCCGCCTTCGCCCTCAGTAGACTATTTTCAATGCTGAACCCACGCAGCAAACTCTCACTCAAATGTAAACTCCATATTTATACTACATGTATACGACCGATAATGACGTACGCATGCCCGATCTTCGCGCATGCACCACCCCGAGCGATCCATAGGATGCAAACGCTACAGAATCGCTTTCTCCGAAGGGCCGCGGGCGCACCCTGGTACCTAAGAAATGACCGACTACACGTCGACCTCAAAATACCGACTTTGAAGCAATTCATGAAACGCTTGTCAAAGCGTTACTTCGAATCCGCCGAAAAGCACCCAAACCCCCTCATAGTATCGGCCGCCCGATACAAAACATCCCAGATTTCCAAAGTTCGCCGTCCTCGGCATATTCTCGAAGAACCGGACGACCCTATCACCATCCTACAAGAGAGCCGTAGGGATACCAGCACTATTCGTAAATACAAATACAGACCGCGTTCCGTATTCCGGCCCCGCCGCCGAGGCCCACCGCGACGTCCCAGTAACGTTAAAAACCGATCTTTGCTAAACGAGCCAGCCCGCGACGCTGAGCCAATAGTAATAATAAATACTCGCGTAAATAATCCGACCCAGCCTGATTTGACTTGCTGCCCCTCCCCAATGACCCCGCCGAGCCGAGGTTTGAACCCCACAGGGGGTGCCCTCAGCGATGCGGTCATTTAGCTTAAGTAGTATTTGTTGCCCTGGCTGGGGGCCTTAACTTATAGAGGCCACCGCAGGGATTAGTCCGGTTAAGTAGTTAACAGCCGTAGCGTGCTGAACTACGAGTGGTCCTATCAAAAAAAAAAAAAGGAACTATTCCCGAATACAGCGACTGCGGGCCATAGCTGAGGTGCGATGTTAGTACTAAACTTGGCGCCATTATCTCATGGCAGTTGAAACAACGACTTTCTCAACCGGAACATTACAATAAAATAACAAAAAAAAAACCAAGGCCCGTGGTCGTTGAATTAACTAAAAATCGCGGGTTATTCACGTGTATAAATTGAGAATAACTGTACCAGTTTCGGAGCACAGAGGGGTTCCTCCTCACTAGTAGAGCTTTTCTCAATTTATACACGTGAGTAACACAAGATTTTTAGTCAATTTGCCGTAAACCGTGGGCGTTGTTTTCCCAGTGGTAAGACCCTTCTTTAAGGAGTGGCTCGAGAAGTGTTATGGTATCCTCGCCAGCCAACGGCGGATCCAGGGGGACGGTCACGGTGTTTATGACCCCCTGGGCTGGTTCCAGGACATAATATTGTGGTGGTATATTTTATTTATACTTTTTACCACTGTATCAACAGGTCTTATGAAACTAAACACATTTATTTAGTGTGCTATAATGACTTTGCATGAATGCAAACGTTTGGGAGCATACGCATCGATTGGAGGGGGGAAAATCATCCAATTACTAGGGAGTATCAGACTATTACTGATTAAAAAACACCACATTCCAAGGTAGGGCCTCGGAGGCCGGACCAGCCGTCGGGGAAGGGTAAAGGGCACTGTCAGACCAGGCCCGCCGTAAGCGGGCGTGCAAGGCGTGCAATGCGCGCGGGCGGCGCATTCAGGGGGCGGCAAATCAAGCAAACAACTACAAAAATTCAGACATTGTCAATTCACATTACTAAAAAAAAATATCCAACCAAAAGAAAATATGACGCGGCGCGCAATTATTTTCTTTTGCATTACACAGTGCCAGTGCCAGTGTTGAAATTCAAGAGAAACAATTTGTAAATCTTCACTCATCACTTCATGTTTACTCTACGTCAAATGATTCAGTCTATTGTTTCTGTTGTAAAATATTCAGTAAAACTGTAAGTAGCTTGTCGGCTCCAAGCGGTTTTTCCGATTAGCAACATTTGTCATCCACCTTAAAACGCCACCGGGCACGGAAGCTTCGGCAGGTTCCTGTTTCGGATCCAGCGGGAGGAAAC